ACCTTGGTGAGGATGCGAGTAATCGCACCAGAGCAACCGGAACCTGATAGGAATATCATCAACCAAACCTATTCAGTAGAGTGAACCAAGGATAACTTACATGTCATTCCAGCGCGATCTCAGTGATCTTGTTTGCCATAATTTACGAGAGTATGTAAAAATACACTGAAAGAACAGGATGATGAAATGTAATAATGGGTATCGATTCCTCATACTATGTACGAATACTTATCGTAAATTAATGAGAGAACACAACTACTTTTTAGTGACTTCTAACTTGAATTTTCACGACCTAGAATCTGTTTGAATTCGATAAACTATAAGAATTTCACACTAGCGAATGAGTAGTTAATAAACTAGAGATAAAACTCCGAAGATAGGTCATTTTAGGATAGCGAGTATTGCAGCGAATCAGCTAAAGAATCGCTACACAACAAGGAGACAACATTGTACTGGCGAATTTCCGATATACAAACGTCTACTATCAATATTGTTCACAAGGAAGATTCAGGGGGAAGTCGTCTCTGCTTGCTTTATGTGATTTCACAGAGAACAGTAGTATAAGACTTTTGAGGCACCTCGCAGATCAAATCGTGGACAGAAAATTGTCCAAAATATCATGTAAGAAGTTTTCCTTCCAAGCCTGCAAAAACTTGAAGCATACGATAGAATATGATCGCTCGCGGTTATTTTGGAAATCGTGAATAAGGCGCTCGAAACCGGTTATTTTTCCCATAGCATTACCAGAGTACCACTGTATTGCTATTTTCATGAAAGTCGAAAGAGTGGCGTTCGCCATTCTGATCGATATCCTAACCTCCAACGAGACATGTCTGCTGATTCCAGCTGAATTCTACTCTATCGGCAGACAGTAGGCCACTGTAGTATGCGGGTATTACCTCCCATTGTCCCCTCAGTGGCCCTTGTTTGATCGGTTGTGGAGGTTGATGAACACTGAACTCATCCCTCGTATAGTATAATACCATATCACACACGTGTGGAACTATGTTGGGCAAAAATCGATTAACATCAGTCGGGGGTATCTTAGGTTCACGGACACAAGATTCAAAATAGGTCCGATGGTAGACCATGTGCGTGCAATGTTAGTTTTCCTTCTTCCCGGTTACTGCTTCCACCGTCACGTATCACCATGAGCTCCGAAGCCGCCCATCTCCATTGCCGTTTCTACCGAGAGCAATTTCCTGAGATTGACCAGTGCATTGTGGTAGTGTAAAATCTTAAATCCGAATCTTCGATTTCTTCCCCTTAGGCCCTGGTGAAGCAAGTCACCGACGTTGCAGCGTACGTTTCCTTATGCGAATATGACGATATGGAGGGTATGGTTCAGCTTTCCGAGCTCTCTAAGAGGCGTATTAGATCTATCCCTAAGCTCATCAAAGTTGGACGGTAAGTTTGAAGAGGTACTAATACCGACTGTATTGTCGCCACCATCAGTTTCGATACGTTCATGGTCTTACGAGTTGATAAGGAGAAGGGCTACATCGACCTCTCGAAGAAGCGTGTGTCGCGAGAGGATGCTGAGGCTCTGGATGTGAAGTAATACTATCAACCGAGTCATCATTATCATTGGAGTTCTACCTGTTAAAGTGGCGTGATACTCGGCAAAAAAATTCAGGTTTTTGCGCTATGCAGTAGTCGTCGTGAAATTTGTCTTTCGTATCACCGGTGAAACTCAATTATTATCATCGTCATCATTTTAGGTATTCAAAGGCAAAGACTGTCCAGTCCATCATGAGGCACATAGCATCGACCCACGGCATGTCTCTAGAGGAGGCGTGTTCAAAGATCTCCTGGCCCCTCTACGACAGGTTCGGTCATGCTTATGATGGACTATCTAAGCTTGTCGGGTAGTAGTATCCTCACATTAGTACTGGTGATGGGGATTTCTCAGTGACAACGCGGATTTGAGCATTCTGGAGGGTCTCGAAATCACCCCGGAGGTTCGCGAGACTCTCCTTAATGTGGTCACCAGACGAATGGCACCTCATCAGCTGAGGGTGAAGGCCAAGGTGGAGGTAATACAGTGTTGTCTGTGCTATTCATATCTAATGGGTGTATATACATAAAAATATGACTAGTAAAATGGAGCTTCATCCGTTTTACGTGAAGTGGCGTAGTACTCAGTGAAAACTCGATATTCGCGGTGATAAGCAGTGTTTTGTGGAATATTTTTTTTCATATCACGGGTGAAACTCCAATGTACTATGAACCTATTGATATCATTTCGTGTATTATCTCTCATGGTCTTGAACAGTGTGGGAATATGTGTTTGGTTTCCTCAACTAAGCTCGTAAATTGCCTCACTACACTATGAAAAATTCACACGACTTTGGGTAGGAGTGTACAAAAATCAACGATAGTTTCTCAAAATTTCTATATTCCTAGCAGCACATGTAGCTGACCATGTGCATGCATTCCCACACTGGTCCTAATTACTGATACAGAGTATTGGGAGTGCGTTTACAACTTGTTTGGAAATGGAACCAGTGTAGGAAAATATGCACACGTTCAACTACATGTGTCGGTGACAAGATGGAGATTTCGAGGAAGTTATAGTTGGTGTTTGTACACTCGTAGTCGAGTTCATATGTAAACCCCCATAATAAGCGAGGAAACTACTAAGCTTTTGTTCGCTGTCTGGCGGGAACAAAAATACGAAAATTTTGAGAAAATTTTTCGAAATTTTAGTTGATTTTCGTACACTTCTACCCAAAAACTCCTCAGCTCAGTTGAGGAGAGCGAACATGTAGTCCTCCAACATTACATGACTCTGATCTCATGTAGCTAACGATGTGTTTGTATGTTGACCTAATAGGTATCATGTTTCGATTATGAAGGTATAGAGGCAATCCAGAGGGCACTGATTGCCGGTCGAACGGTCGCTAATGACAATTCTAAGGTGACTTTAACGGTGCTTGCTCAATCGCGTGGTATTGGAAATGGTCAGGTTGATGATGATGAGTCGCTGAAGGCCACCACTACGGTGAAGCTGATAGCTCCTCCCCAGTATTACATCGTAACTACGTGTTCTTTGAGGGTGATAAGAGTAACCATGACGATTTTCGTGTTATGTTCTATTGGATAGGACGTCGGGTTTGAGCGTATTGGTGCTTGCATTGACGCGATAAAGGAGTCTATTGAGAAGGAGGGAGGTACTTTCGCATTGAAACAAGCGTAAGGTGCTGGGGTAAAGTGAGAGGGTATAAGGTCGACTGTTCAGGCCTGAGCTCGTTGGGTTGGATGAGGAAGAGCTGGCCAAGCAGAAGCGGGAGGAAGAGGTAGGAGAATTAATTGTAGGTGTAAAAGTTGCATAAACTTTCTCTTGTTGTTGTAGTCCGAATCCGAGAGTAGTGACTCTGAAGATGAGGATGAGGGAATGGGAGATGCTGAGAGTAAGTCAAACATTTCGAGGCTCTCTGATCCGGCTCATTGCAATTATTGATATTTGAATTTTTCTATCAGTTGATGAGAGCGCTTTCGCCAAGGCCAATGAGGAGTGATGTATGAAATGACAGAAAAGGCAGTACCACTTGAAAGAAAGAGGTCATTACAGTTTCCTCTATTGTGGTGTATTGCGTTGACCATTATCCGGGAGGATATTTTTAGTGTGTGTTTGGCCTGATCGTTAGTGGTCTGGTTTAGTAAGCAGGAGGTTGTTGGTTCGATCCCTGCAGTTGTTACCTATATCCGATCATGGAGGCTCAGGAATAGGAAGGGCTGTTCAAGGGAGGTTTCTTTTTTGCCTACTTGTGTAGTAGCGATCCTATGTACTATATTCAACGGATCGCTGCGTGGTTGTCGATCCCACTTTCCTAGTTGAGGGCTCGGTGAATTCGGTCAGTCTATCGATGGTTATGTGAGAGTATATGGTCGGTACTGATTATTCCATGTGGACCTGTGGACTGATATGTAGTGCAAATGAGATCACCTCAACTTACCTGTCTTGCCACTATGATAATTTAAATTTCTCCTACCATTTTCCGGGATGATCCGGTCTATATTGTCTGATGTATCTAACTAGTGACGTCATCGGTTACCCTACTTTTGCTTCTATAGCGAAGGTAAGGCGATTCCTTCGGGGGCGACGAGCTCGATAGCGCCTTTTTTCGACAGCATGGAAGCTGATTCTCTTATGGTATTTGCCAGAGTACGTTGCTTAGGCGTATAACCACTGTTCTCTACAATGCTAAGATGGGACGCTTTCGAATGTAGTCTGCTGAGTGCAGCAATCTGGCTAAGATTGCTGGCTGGCTATCCTTAAGAACATTCTGACGACTTAACAAAGTGGGCCATTTTTTTCTTGCGATGAGAAGAATACATATCACAATAATGAAATTGATATTCTAGTCAACTATGATGTTCAAGTCGGTTGTTGGGTATTACTCGTGTGGAAAAACACCGGGTGCGGGGATCGAACCTGCGTCTTTTGTTTTAGTTCCTGCTTCGCCCCTATGACCAGTCCGCGGTCTTCCTTCCGAAAACGACGGCCCAAGCAGCGATGGCTCTGTATAGTTCCCCTTGCATTCACACTTTTATTTCTCTTCCTGCTACTGTCCAACTCCCCGATTCACACTGTGTCCTCTCTGCGCGGTCCTGATCCATCTCACCCGTTACCAACACCCAAGGCGACCTCGGCCGCCGACCCTTTGTCGAATTCTACCTCAGCGTATCTGAGGGCTGATCAGCTGACCGACCCGTGGAGTGGTAGGCCTATTACGACCGACTACATCGCCCTCGAGAACCCCTCGGATCGTCCTCACCTTTGGACGACTATACAGTGCACAGGAAGCAATCTGAACCGGAGTTGCATTTTCGACAACTTTTACTATGTATCGTCTAAAGAGAAGTTCCACATCGTTCTTCCGTCGAGTTCCCGAATACGGTCGTCGCCGTACACTGGTCGGCCTGTTGACATTGATAAGGACCCAGTCCTGCCCGGCCCCTATGATGGGTCTATGGTCACTGAATCGGGAGTGAGAATGCTCATCGAGGGCTGCAGCGACTTCTTTATGGGTGATGTTGATTATGAACCCACTGGTAACCGCTTCGAGCCACTCATACACATCTTCGATTCGCCCTTGGATGCCGAAATGTGGATAATGCATCATACCATCACAGGAGCAACTTTCCGTCCCGGCCTGACTGTTTATGGTTTCGCTCTCTACATGCACAACGTTGGACATGCCCTTTACGATGGACTCTACCCTATGTTCGTATCGATGTTGAGATTTGGCTATGGGGCTGCTGATGTGAACGTATTGTTCAAAATGGTGTATAACGGCGTATTAAGACCTGGCATGCACGTCATTGGTGACGACATCGCGCCTGTTTTCGGCGGTGGTACATATACTCATCTCGATGACCTCACGGATGGCCTGTATCGTTTTCAAAGGATAATAGTAGGCTCGCGCCGGATGGCCCATCGATCGTTTAATACGTACAGTACTTTACCTGGTTCCTATACGTATGAAAATTCTCTGTGGTATTTCTCTCGACGTTTGCAAGCTCGCTATGGTTTGATCGATTCCAAGACGGCTATGGATCCTGCGGCTGAGGTCAAAACTGGTGTGTCCAGTGATGGGTGTAAAGGCGTTATCACTGACAATAAGAGGTTTGATGCTACTGATAGGAAGATGTTCTTCGACTTGATTGAGAAGCTCAAGGATGAGGGTGTTTGTGACTTTACGTTTGTTGATTGGAAAAAGTATACCTTCGAGGAACAACTCGAATTATTCACTAATTCTGATGTCTATGTCAGTGGTGTTGGCACTGGTATCACGAGAGCTCATCTGACCAGGCCTGGTGGAGCTGTGGTGAATTTAGGCGAACTTGAGAAATTTGGCATCCCCGAACGAGTTCAGATTTCTTATCGTGACGTTCAGTTTGCGGCTGGAGCGCCCTACTTGCAAGCCCTCTATTATCCTGCTAAGTTATGGAACGTT